CCCGCACGCGCGTGGAGCGGCCGCCATCGCGCCACGCGTCGCCTTTAAGCCGCTTTTCTGCCGGAGGACTCGAGCCGCGCCTTAAAGGAGTCACAGGGGCCCCGCCCCTGCCGCGCGCCTTAAAGGGGAGGAGCGCGCCTGGTGTGAAATCAGCCGTCAGGGCCCGCCTCCCAGGCCCCACCTCGGGACGGCCTTAAAGATCCGAAGAGCCGCTTACCCTCCGACAGTGCCCCCTCGCCCGCCCGGCATGACGTCATCCTACAGGCCTGCCCCGAAAGCCCCGCCCCCGATCCCGCCTTAAAGACACAGAGCTCCCCGAGGACTTGCACCGGGCGTGGCTCTGGTACCTTAGCTGTGTCCAGGTGCCTGCTTCCTTCCGGACCTCCGCCTAATGTGCCCTCTAACTTCCATGTGTATAGGACCGGCTGAGCCACCAGGTGGACCTGCCTAGTTAGGACCTGATTGGGGATCCGAAAGGTTTGAGCCTCAGTTTCCTCTGCTGCAACATGGGTTTTGCCATCCTGGTTCTCAACCTCGCCAGAATGTCCTTGGGGGTTTGCTGGGTATTAAGGCCCTGGCGTCCACAGACCTGGCTTCAAATCCAGCCCCCGCCATGGGCTCGCTAGGTGCGAGCCTAAGTTTGTCCATCTGTAAACGGAGGTCATAAGAGATTCCGCAGGGGTGGTGTGAAGACGGAGCCAGACGATGATGCTGGAAAGTGGTCCAGAGGCAGGGTCAGCGTTTCCATGGAAACGCCACCGAGGGATTGTTTTTCAATACTGTAATGTATTTTCTAATTGATCGTGTTTGTATCGTTCTTAAAAATTAAATTTTAAGAATGATGCTCATATTTATTAATGTGGGGGTGGAGAGGAAGGGTCAATATTTTTTGATTGTTTTGGAAGGTTCAATATTGTTAAATAAAATTCGGGGCACAGGTAGCACATCCCAATCTGCACAGCAGTCAGTGGAGCCAGAAGCTTAAGGAAGTAAGTGGGCTTGAACTGAAAAGCCCTGGCCAGGCCCAGCGTCTCCCAGCAGGCCTAGTGGGGCAAATATCACGAGTATCTCCTTCTCCCCTCATCCATGCTCCTCTTCCACTTTTCTTTTCACTTTGCTTCTGTTTGCTCATATTTATTAATGTGGGGGTGGAGAGGAAGGGTCAATATTTTTTGATTGCTTGATTGTTTTGGAAGGTTCAATATTGTTAAATAAAATTCGGGGCACAGGTAGCACATCCTAATCTGCACAGCAGTCAGTGGAGCCAGAAGCTTAAAGAAGTAAGTGGGCTTGAACTGAAAAGCGCTGGCCAGGCCCAGGGTCTTCCAGCAGGCCTAGTGGGGCAAATTTCACGATTATCTCCTTCTCCCCTCATCCATCCTCCTCTTCCACTTTTCTTCTCACTTTGCTTCTGTTTTCCATTGTTTTTCTTTTTTTTTTTTTTTTTTTTTTTTTGCACAAGTGTTTGGCTGAGTATTTCTGGAACACAGCCCCATCTTGACTGGTTACATGATTGGGTCAGGGGTTGGGGAAGGAGACAGGAGGACCGGGGATGAGGACACTGCTGAATCCAATGTGGTCGTGGTGGCGGTGGGGGGGAGGGGGTTCTCTACCTTTATGGTATGTTTGAAACTTTCCATAACAAAAAGGTGAAAACAGGTCTACACCCTATGGATTTGTCAAGGAAAGATCTTTCATATTAAGTAAGAAAAAATAACATCATAAGACATGTCCCATCCTATCTGGAAGTATTTAGACCCACAAGCAAGCAGTGGTTTTCTCAAAGAGGGCAGGATGGGACATTCTTGTGGCTGTAATTTCTCTGGAATTAACATCTACATCCCATCGTGGGTAAAAGAAAGCCAGCTGGAGAAGGTAGTGGACCACAAATCTACCCCTGCAGGTGGAGTTGGAGGGAAAAGTCTGGGAAGGTCAGGAATATCTCACTCTCTTGGGAGAGGCTGAAACGTCCGGGACAGAATGGGAGGGAGCCACCTCCATAGAGTATGCTTGTCTCTCTGAAACCGGAACCCAGAGAAACATGGGGGAAATCCCTCTGGAACCAGCTCCGGAAGCAGCTGGAAAGCTTGTCAGTAGAGAAGCTGCCGACCTCAAGTGAACAGCTGCCAAGTTCCTCCACATGGCAGTAAGCGTGCATGCAAGGGTGTGAGTGTGTGTGCGCGTGGGCCAGTGGGCCTGAGGGTGTGTGTTTAAATATAATCGCACCATAATTTATTCAGCTATATGGAGTAGTAGCCTAGAAAGAGAAACTGGTATTTGCTTTAACTACCTGCTACTTGTAAGCGCTTCCTCTGTAACTCAGGTGTAACTGTTATGCATTAAAGGAAATTAAAAGGATTTTGGAGGTTCTGTTGTATTCAGTTGATTGCCATTACGTGGCTGCCCCAAAAGGGACTGAGGGGGTGTCAGAGGAGGCTTTTGACTTGATTTCCAGGGTCAGGGTAGGAACTGTGTTTCTCTTGTACCCCACTGGGTCCCCCAGTGCCAAGCAGCTGCTAGGCAGGTGATGGATGCCTGATCAGTATTTGATAAATAAATATTGCTTCTTAAGCAGCTCTCTGAGCTCACAGCACAGTGTCAGAGAATGAGGGGAAACTTTTCCTGTTGCTTAGCTTAGAACCCTCCAGGGCTCTCTCCCAGTACATAGGAGGATCTGGGAGGTGGTGAGAGCTCAGAAGCTTATATAGTGCCCTAGAAGCAGTCTGATATGGGGATTTGGGGGCAGATAAGTAATTGGTAAGAAGCTCTCAAGAGAAATCTGTAAGGGTGTGAAGGAAGCAAGATGGGGCAGGGAGGAGGGAAGTAAGAGGTTATTCTGGCTGGAGTCCAGCTTCAACCTGAGGCTACAGGGAGCTCTGGCACATGGATTGTAGCACCAGAGTTAGTCCCCCCTGAGGCCAAGGAGCTGGTCTTTTGCACCATGATATTAATCAGTCAGTGGCTACCAGCTGTCCCAGGGATGTGGTTAGGTGGAGAGAGAGTGTATTGGCCCAAGCATCTCTCATTAAAGTAGCTCTGTGGGCTGATGGCAGGCCTCCAGAGAAAGGTACAACTATGAGCCGAACTATGAGCCCTTAGCAGCAACATGCACATCACTTCAGGGACAGGTGAACTGGCCCAGTACAGGGGACCTGGGCAGGGACCAGCAGTATCCACTCCACACATGATTCCCCTTGCCCTAAACCAGGATACCCATGTCATTTCAGGGCATTGAAATGACATGGATGATCTTCTGAAGAGAAAGGGGGTGGTAAGGGAGTTGTCGGGAGAAATTGTACATAAAGAATTAATAAGGTGGTCCTGTTGACCCGAGTCCATCCAACCAGCCCAAGTTTTCCAGGGACTGAGGCCAGTCAGGAGCTGCCCTCATTTCCTCCTCCACACAGAGACCCTGCCGTGTGAGGAGCTCCGTACCAGCCCCCAGTGGACTCCGGGCAGCTTATGTCAGAACCAGTGCTCCCAACCTCGTTCCACCCCACGTCTGTCCCCCACCTTACATTTTGGAGGAGCCAGCTGGTCCTGCTCATGAATTGAGATACAGCACAGGATAGGAAAGAAGGGGATGGAGGGACCTCCTGGACTTTTGATCTAAACAGTTGGGTAGAAATGGGGGCCGTTTACTGAGATGGGAAAGACTGGGGGAGGAGCCAGTGTGGGGCAGGGAGCGGGGGCAGAGCTTCAGCAGGCCTGTTCAGCCATGTGACAGCGAGACCCCCAAGTGGAGAAGGCATCACCTGACAGCTCTGTAGCATGGAGAGGACGGTGCTCATCCTGTGACTCTGGAAGTCTGGCTGGTACTGGTTCGGTTGAGATTGTTTAGGGAGTGAGTGAGGCAGAACATAGAAGAAGAAAAGAGAGCCAAGGACCGGGCCCAGGGCGCTCCAGCCTCTAGAGTTCAAAGGAAGAGGAGGACCCTGTGAAAGAGTCTGCAAAGTAGCAGCAGGGACAAGAGGAAGAGTGGCAGGAGTGCCACATGGATGAGGCACCAACCCGGCACACAGTAGGTTCTCCATGAGTGACAGAGCAAAGCATCTAGAACACAGTGGGCCTGCAGGAATTGGAAAATGCTGTCATTTGTTCTTAAACACGTTTTGGAGGATTGCCAAGGAAGTCCCCATCTGCAAACTCCTTGCAGCTGCACATCAGTCCCCCATTAGCCACTTGAAACTGGAGCTGGCCCCTCCCGAAATGCAAGTCCCCTGGAGGAGGGCACTGCAGCAGCAGCAGCTCAGGGCTCCAACCTCAGTCTCCCCTCTCAGCCCTGCCCACCCCAGGCATGTGGCCCTGAGCCGTTGTGGAAGTTCTTGGAGCTACACTTCCTCATCTGTGACATCGGGGAGTTGCTAAATGGTGGGGGCGGAGTTAGGATTAGGATTTGCTTCTGCTGAGCCCAGAGCCCATGGGCTTTCCATGACGTGGTGTGGCAGCATTTCCCACAGCAGGAGGGATCTGAAGGGGCATTGAAGACCGGCCACCCGAGACACTGTTGACATCGTGTTCTGTGACACAGGAGCCCTGCTTAACAGGAGAACCACGTGGCATCCACTGGTTCTCAACCTGGCTGCTGCAGGTTAGAGTGGGAGGGGGTGGGGAAGGAGGGCATGGGGAGAGGGGTTAAAACACATCAATGTCCAGGCCCGCCCTGCCCTATTAAGTGAGAACCTCTGGGAATGGCGTTCAGGTATGGGTGTTATTATTGTTGTTGTTGTTATTATTATTATTATTTTAGGCCACCAGTTGATTCTGACACACATCCAATATTGACAACCAATGGAGAAACTGCGGCCCTATAATTCAAACCCTTACCCTCTCCTGTCCTGAATTCCTTCAGGCTGCATACAGAAGGCTGGCGTTCTCTTCCTTCATAAAACACATCCAGAGAGGAAGTGCAGGGAGTGGTTAAGAACCCGGGCGTTGGTGTTAAACCCATGTGGGTTACTTTTTAGCCATGTGGGCCCGGGCAAGTTGTCCCCAAGCTGATTCCCAGGAGAGATAAATTCCTAAATAAAAATTGCGAGACTCTTTGCAGTTGGTAAGGCATTTTGACACACACCATCTCCTTGAATCCTTCTCTGTACTCCTGCAAAGGAGAGGGAAATTATTAGTTCCATTATCTGGTTGGGGAAACTGAGGCTCAGAGATGAACTCACTCACCAAAGGACACGCAACTTGGGTTTGGGTACAGGTATTCTATCTCATTTGCCGAAGAGAGCCTGGAATTAAGAAGG